TGCTAGCTGTGAATCCAGGAAGGGTAGAAAAGTGACTTTTGGTGAACAGCCAGCAGTCTCTGCTATGAGGAAGTTTTTAAAAGTTCTAGAAGGGACGGGGCATGCATCCCCAAAGAAGGATCATTCATTCCCAAGGAGGATATAGTGAGTAGACCCACTGGCCACAATTCTTCACTTCTGTAGTATTTTGCATCCGTATTCTTGCCACAGTTGAGGCAGGCGGGGTGTATCTTCCCACCTACTGATGTTAGGCTTGAATGTGTGGCTTTCTTTAGCCAACGAAATGGAATAGAGGGGCGCCTGCATGGCTCAGTCAGTTAAGCACCCGACTTCGGCTCAGGTCATGATCTCACAGTTCATGAGTTTGAGCCCCACATCAGGCTCTGTGCTGCAGCTCAGAGCCTGGAGCCTGCTTCGGATTCTGTGTCTCTGAGTCTCTCTGTTCCTCCCTTGCTCATGCTCATGCTCGGTCTCTCTATAAACATTAAAAAGAAGAAAGACGAAGGAGGAGGAAGAGGAGGGGAGGAAGAAGAAATGGAATAGAAATGGTAGTGAGTCTGTTTTGAGCCTCAGATTTAAGGATTCCTGCATGTTTCCACTTTCTTCTTGTGCTTTCTCCACCTCTATTAGAAACATTCCCCTGGATAGCTACTGCCCTTCAGCCTGAGGCTGCAGGAAGAGCCAAACTACCTCAGACCGTATCTTGAAGCCCCTATCTGATCTAAGCCTAGATCAGCTAACATGCAGCCAACCTATAGAGGCATGATCGCAGCACAGCCAACCCAGCCAGCAAACACATGAGAAATGAATACTAATTGTTGTGTGAGGTTGTTACACAGCACTATTGTTGCAATAGCCAACAGATAAAGACAAAGAGCAACTTCACTGGCCAGGCTTTTCATAAGTATGTCAAGTCCATGTGACTGAAGAAAAAGTTAGAAAACAAGAGACTACGTGGCTTAAAACCAGACCTGCGTAGCCATACAGCAAATGAAAATTGCATCTGAAGTCAAGCACACTGTATACTTCTGCCTGTCCTCTCCCCATATCCTGACTGGTGTCCTTAGGTTTCTCCACCAGGACAGGAGTACCTAATCTTCAGCCAACATCTTTGGGTGCTGTATGGTTGTCCCAATGGAACAATGATGTATCAATGGAAAGACACTAACAAACCCAGGCAAAGAATGCAAGTTCCATCATTGCGGGTAAGCCTGCTTTGCACACCCAGAAGTGGGATACAGTGAGGCAGGCTCTGGTGGAGAGATTAGCACCCTTGGCCTTCAGGTCCCCACTGAAGGAAGCCAGCTGCTGCTGAGACCCCCCCTCAAGATGAGGCTCCCAACAAGTTTGCTAAAGCAGGTCTCCTCAGACTGCATCAAAGCACCTGTGAAAACACAAGTTCTGATTCAGCAGGTCTGGGACGGGGCCTGAGATTCAAGCTCCCAGTTGAATGCCACAGGTCTTCAGGCCAGATTTTGAGTAGCAAAGCCCCAAAGCAATGATATCAGTCTCAGCTGCACACTGGAATAACCTGGGAAGCTTTTAAAAGCACTGATGCCTGCCTCCCATCATGAAAGGCTCTGATGCAGGGGGCCTGCGGAGCCCCTGGGCACCCCAGCTATCCCAGTGTGTAGCCACTGTTCTAAAAGCCCCCTTCATTGTTTTCAGGGGGTATGTGCCATCTTGCCTCCTCTCCACTTTTCTGGAGTGTCTGGCTCTCCGTTTGCCCACCCTTTTGCCAGGTAAGAGAATTTAATGTTTTTAAGTAAAGTGATTCCCATGTTGTGAAAGAAGAGACAATTACAGGTGCCTGGGTGGTTCAGCTGATTGAGCTCCAACTCTTGATTTCAGCTCAGGTCATGATCTCACAGTCGTGAGATCAATCCCCAAGTCGTGTCTGGCTCCACACTGGGCGTGGAAACTGCTTAAGACGCTTGCACATACTCTCTCTCTCTCACAAAATAGAAGAAAGGAGGAGGAGGAGGAGGAGGAGAAGAAGAAGAAGAAGAGGAGGAGGAGACAATTAAACACATATGTTGGGGCGCCTGGATGGCTCAGTCAGTTAAGCACCTGACTTCAGCTCAGGTCACGATCTCACGGTTTGTGGATTCAAGCCCCACATCAGGCTCTGTGCCGACAGCTCAGAGCCTGGAGCCTGTTTCAGATTCTGTGTCTCCCTCTCTCTCTGCTTCTCCCCTGTTCGTGCTCTGTGTTTCTCTGTCTCTCACCAATAAATAAACGTTTAAAAAAATAAAAATAATAAAAATAAAACATATAAAAAGGTAACATAGGAACACAAAAATGGAGTCCTTTAAATTGAACAAATGTGACCTTTGAAAATCTCACTTTCCTGCCCTGCTTTTCCTCGTTCCCTACTGCACAGTGCAAACACCCCCAGGTCTTCATTCCATCCACTGGAAAGCCGGCTAACATGATGAGGAAGGTTTTAACTAATCCACACCAAGGGAAAATACATGGGAAATGTTTGCTTTCTAACTAGGATAATTTAATAGCTGTTTTATATCAAAACAAGGATAGGAACATGGAATTGAGCTTAAATTTTATGTGAATTTTTGAGGTGAAACCCCAGACTTCCAAATAATGCCGGGTTTGCCACTGATGGCCTCTGGGTGGGGTTGAGGGTAGGGGCCAACCTTTGGAGGACTCAGAAGGGTTGCCAGATTCAGCAAATAAAAATATAGGACACTCAGTTCAACCCAAATCTCGGACAAATAGATTGAGAGGCGGAATTGGGTGCCCCCAAGGCCAGGGGCTCTTCATCATGACAGTAGATATACAGTCAGGCCATGAGGCAGACCCCGGTGAGCTCCAGATGCCCTCAGGAATTCTGAGAATCCTCTTGAAGCATCAAGGGGCATCCGCCTAGACTCTTAGCTACTGTGGATTTGTTTGTCCTTTGGTTTTTTTGTTTGACAGTCTGTGTGGGCTTGAGCCCTGTGCTCAAAGTTTAGCAGGAGTCAGGTCCTGGGTAAACACCTGGAAGACAGAGAGCATCATGTTCCTGGCCTTGGTTCTGCCATACCTCTGTTTAAATGCCCATCACAACACCACCTGTCTCCCCACAGGTCAGGTGTGGGGACTCCTGCCCCTTTCCCCACTCATACCACTAACCCCAGGAAAGCTTGTTGATCTCCAGCCCAGTCCCGAACAATGCCACTGCATAGGATTTGGGGAAATCAAGAAAAACAAAGTAAAATGTGTGTCTCGAGTCACATGAATTAGGAGGGAAGGGCCCAATCAGGAGGGGCAGTGCCAAGGAGTTGTGGTAAAGAGAGATCCACTCCACAAGCCCTTCGCCTTCTCTGCTCCTCTCTCCCTCGTGTAGAAATGGGCACGCTGAGCAAGCTGCTTTCTGACACTCTTCTTCTGGGCAGTGCCCTTCTTGCTTCTGAGTCCTCCCCCCTCCTGAGGAGCTGTGTGCTGGACACTCGGCTTCAGCCGGGAGATCTTTTCTGAGCCCTGTGTTTGTGCCAAGCGTGCTGGGCCATGGACCTCAGCAGCAGAGGAGGTGACCTTGGCCCAGCTGACTGCCCCACAGCATCCCAGACATCAGAGCATCAGACTAGGACCTCCTGGCACTGGTAAGGCAGACTGACCTGGTCATGGCTGAGTGTGTATGCCTGTGCGTGTCAGCATCCTGGTCCCCACCCCACCCTGGGGGGCTGTGGACAACCTCACTGACCACAACGCACTGTGTCAGCAATAAGTAAACAGGATGGATTGATTGCAGCCTCCGTAAGCAGAGAGATGCCAGTCACCATCTAAACAGGAAAGAAAACACCCCGTGGGGAGAGGAGCCTTCACTATTCTCTGTGATGTAGGAGAGAAGGGGGAGGAGACAAACAGAGAAAAACAGATGGACACCGGAGTGAAGGAGAAGAAACACTGACAGAAAGAGAGAGTCAGACAGACCCAGAAAAACAGGCAGCACCAAAGCCAAGGGTCGGGAGCTGCTGTGTTTATACCAGCTGCTCTGTGCCCCCCAAGGTGCCCCACAGGTGCCCCTACTTGCCAAGGTCCCCTGCCTTGGGCCAGTCTCTCTGCATCTGACCTCCCACCCTCCTCCCAGGGAGGCTTCCCGCCTCCTCCTCCAGACCATGTTCAGACTACAGCTTGTCCTAGAAATCATCAAGGATAAACCACCCCCAGGGCTCCCTCTCTTTTGCTCAGAAAAGGTCCCAAGTGTGTCTCCAGCCAGATAGATTCCCAGAGGCTCATCTTCTCTCCTCTTGGGTCACTGCTGAGTCTCATCTTGTAGGATACATGATCTCTCCCATTTTCAGATAGAGACACTGAGCCCTTTGTGGGTCCTCCCGAGGCCACCCCCAAATGAGGAACATATTTTGCCTCCTGCATCTTAGCCTTTCAACCCCCATCATCCTTCCTGGTCCACTGATTGCTGACCTTTCTCCGCCTGCCCCACCCCCTGCCGGGTCTTGAGGGGAGCACCCAGGGCGGGTGACTCAGGTAGGGGGTGGCTAGGACTTCCCACTTCGTGGGAGGAGCCCTTACCCATGAAACAGACCATCCTCTGAGTCACTAGGAGATCCTGGAGGTTGGGAGAAGCTGATTCATCCTTGTCTCTATTTTGTCAGGGAAGGAAAAGGCCTCACACAGAGGGGAATGGCCAGTTCATCGTTCTTTTCTCCCACATAATTGAAAACTGCAGTGGAGCCATGTGGAAAGATGGAGCAGGCCCTAAAAAGGCCCTTGTGACAACCCTAGAAGACATGACATGGGGAGAGAAAGGAGAGTCCGGGGGCCTTTCAAACCGCTACAGGCAGGAAACTCAATATTCAAATTTAGATTTGAAAAAAAAAAAAAAAAAAAAGTAAATTTGAAGAACGTCGTTTGTCTCGCAAAATAATCGTTCGTTAGAAAGCTCAGAGTTCCTTTAAACAGCATTCCATGCCGGGCAGTTCCCAGGGTTTTAGATCAGTCAGGGAGCTCACAGCACTGGGAACGGCGGCCCTTCTTACCTGCAGGTTGCGGGTCGTCGCCAATGCTCTTGGTTCCTTCACTCCAGCTCAGAGCCTCTCAAACTTCCAGAATCACCTGCGGAGCTTGTGAAAAACACAGGTGGCTGGGCCCCACCCTAGCGCTTCTGATTCAGTCGATTTGGGTGGTGCCCCATCATTGGCATTTCAACAGGTTCCCAGGTGAGGCATGAGCTGCTGGTCCGCGGAGCACACTTTGAGAATCACGACTGAGTGAGCCCCAACTGCCTGTGCTCACGGCCAGGGAAAGCCACTTGACCTTGACCTCTCCACTGGTCACCCCTTCTGTCAGGACCACAGGGCTCCACAGGGCTCTCCGCCTGGCCTGCCGGCCCAGCGAACTTCCTGAGGGAGGGTGTGGCCTTTTCCCACCTCTGTCATGATTGTTGCCACCTTCTCCTCTGTCCCCAAACCTCCAACAGCCCCCCCCGTGTGCCCAGCTCAGCTGGTGCAGAAGCAAACGCCATTCCCTTCCCACCACCAGATCTTCAGACCCGTGCGCCCGGGGCACACCCTCTCTCCCATGCTTCTCAGAAATGGAAGACGTGCAGGCTCCCACCTAAGACCCTGCACACCACCCAGTGTCGCTCCTCCTTCGGTTCTCTCTTCACCCCTACGTCTTTCCTCACCGCCTCTCTTTTGGGAAGAGTGGACCATTCCCATGAGCACACAAACATTCTCCAGCATCCCTCATCTTTTCAAAAATAAAAAAGGTGGGGGTGGGCAGGGCACCTGAGTGCCTCAGTTGGCTGAGCCTCGGACTCTTGGTTTCCACTCCGGTCATGATCTCACAGTTTATGAGGTCGGTGAGATCACACCCTGCATTGGGCTGCGTGATGACAGTGCAGAGCCTGCTTGGGATACTCTCTCTCCCTCTCACTCTGCCCCTCCCCCGACTCATGCTCTACGTCTCTCTTTTATAAAAACTAAAAATTTATTTTTAAAATACATTTTTAAAAAGGGGGGGATGAGCCGCCCTAGACCACCTCATCTGCTTCTAGCTACCACCCCCCCATTCCTCACCTAATGTTCGCAGCAAAACTTCTTCAAATTATTGAAAGTTCCCGTCCCTGCTCCCACACTCCCGGCACACTTTTTTCCACCTCCCTTTCCTAGCACATCGCTGGAATCCCACAGCTCCCACCCAGGGAGTCTCTCAGTCAGTCTCTCAGAAATATTCCAGACCACTGACCACTGCCTCCTGCTGGGAAGACCTTCTGCTCTTGAAACTGCCTCTCCTCCCCTCCCCTCTCTCCAGCCCCATGGCTTCGACATGATGTCTGCTAATTCTGCATCTACAGCCCATGATCACTCTCCTGACCTTGGATTTTATCAAACTACCTTTGATCATGTCAAACACAACATGCCCAAAACAAAACTTTTGATTTCCCCTGACCAGTTTGGGGGTAAAACAAATTTACTGGGTTTTTTTTTAAGTTTGTTTATTTATTTTTGAGAGAGCGTGAGGGAGGGACAGAGAGAGGAGAGAGAGAATCCCAGCCAGGCTCCTTGCTGTCCACACAGAGCCTGGCAGACCATGGGATCATGACCTGAGCCGAAATCAAGAGTCAGACTTTTAAGTGGCGGAGCCACCCAGGCGCCCCCAAAATTTACCATTTTTGGTAAATGCAGTTCAGCGGCATTAAGTACATTCACAGTGTTGTGTAACCATCACCACTACTCATTTCCAGAACGTTTCCATCATCACAAACTTAAATTCTGTACCCATTAAATAATATTATTGATTATTCCCCACCACCACCCTCAGCCTTTGGTAACCACTATTCTGCTTTCTGTCTCTTTGAATTTGACTATGGTAGGTACCTCTTATAAGTGGAATATTTATCTTTTTGTGTCTGCCTGCCTACTTTTTCCTCTCTCACATTCTGCCATCCCCCAATTGCCCAAGAATACCCCCAACAAATAAACCAAAGGTTGGCCAGCTCCTCTGATAGGGTTTCTGAGGTGTTCTTCAATTTTTTTTCAAGTATATGTTTTGTTCTCTAAAGTTTAAATATGTAAAATAAAACAGCCAAGAAAGACATAACACCATGCCCCTACTTCTCAAATTTATCACCGTTGACATTTTTATGTCAACTGCTTTGTCATTTTTAAATACAAGAAATAAAGCATTAGGATTCAAACTATAAACTTCTTTTAACTCTCACCACCAGAGACAACAATAGGTAAATTAAACATACATTGTCTAGCCGATTTTTATAGTGCACATTTAATCTATATTTCATCTAATCTGAGACACCATCAGTTGTAAGATGCACTATTATTTTAAGCCCCACTTAAAAAGAAAAACACTGTTGGGGCGCCTGGGTGGCTTAGTGGGTTAAGCGTCCGACTTTCGCTTAGGTCATGATCTCGCGGTTCGTGGGGTTGAGCCTCGCGTCGGGCTCTGTGCTGACAGCCAGCTCAGAGCCTGGAGCCTGTCTCAGGGTCTGTGATTCCCTCTCTCTCTGACCCTCCCCTGCTCACGCTGTCTCTCTCTCTCTCTCTCTCTCTCTCCTAGAAATAAAATAAAAAACATTCAAAA